CCAGCGCACCATGACACACAGTAATGCATTATTTAGCTGCATTGAAAAAAATGCTGCACGTCCTTTTTAGATGATTTGGTGCACTGGCATTCCTGCGTTAATGAAACGCACACCGAACATGCGGAAAAAGTGCATTAAAAAAGGACATCGGGGTCCAGATGAGCCCCCAGAACCGACTCTCACCCTGAGGTGGTCACTTTAAGGCACCACAAAGACCTTTCTACTTCCCAACACGCCTTGCCATGCATGTGTAAGGCGTATGGGATGCAATTGCAAAGTGCGCTGGGGTGCCGTTCACATTGAATCGCTCCACAATGCGCCAAACGTGCGTTACTGCAATGCGTTCTATAACTGGACTCAGCGTCACATCGCGCCGCAATGTGAAATGTTCCACGCTAGACGCGCACACGCCGTAACGCACTGCAGAGGCGCGACGGGAAACTCGCAACAAAAATAATATAAAAACAAATCTTTAATTTCTAAAAATTTGATCAGAGTTAAAAACATTCGTATAAAAAGACAACGCACAAGAGTGGACGTCGCCCCGGAAGGGAGGCGGCCAATCAGGAAGACTCCACAATGGCGGGTCGGCCGGCTCACTTCCCCGTCTGCTATTGGACGGCAGCAAAGACGACGAGATTTAAAAAAAACAAAAAACCTTTCCTCTCATCGGAGGGCAAACACGGGGCTAATAAATAATGGGAGGAGCCAGACAGGCCCCGCCTCAAAAATCGCAGGCTTAAAGGATTAATCCACTCTGACCCCATGTGATAACTGGAGGAGGCGGGAACAGAAATCAGCAACTGGTTACAGATCCATCCGGGTTATTCCCATGTCACGTAGGCACGGCGTTCCCCATAGAGAGACGCAAACTCTGCGGACACTTCCAGAGCCTGCGCGGGCAGAGGGCAGCCAGATACAGGTTTGCTGAACCTGTACGCAGAGAGATATAGAGACTGCCGGGGCCGGGCTGAGGGGGAGGGGTCGGCAGAAGAGGCGGAGTCCTGGGGCGCTTCAGCAGACGGGCGGGCACAAAAAGGGCAACTGACAACCTATGCCATAGGCAGGGCCAGCTCCGGGCCAACCACTGAAAATAGGCCCAGCCGGCCCGGATTGCCTCGGTATGCCCGATCGGCCGGGCTGAACGTACTCAGGCAGAGGCGCCGGGAACTACTCTAATCAGGCGGCTCCTTGCTGGGGCCTCACCTGGCCCCGGCGAGAAGCGAGTGCCATGTAATTGGAGAGAGTCGCCTCTGTTGGTTGCCGTCCAACAGCACCAGGCCCATGATGCTCTTAATGCGGCCCTGGCCGTAAGTCAGGAGTGGGCAACCGTGGCACTGCAGCTGCTGAGGAACTACAAGTCCCATGAGGCATTGCAAGATGAGGCATTGCCACACAGGAAGTGGCATGGTGGGATTTGTTTGGAGTGACAAGGTTGCCCACCTGAGTTGTTCAAAGCCCATGGGGATGGGGGTGGGGCGGGGGAGGAGTAATTTGGAGAGGAAATGATTCTTTTTTTTTTAGTGTTGGATAGAAAAGGCAAAATGGTAGAACCTCCGTCTGTGCCCCGCTGGGGAGATTCCCCCTTCACTTCCTGTCTTGTCTTGTGGACAGGAAGTGAGGGGAAATCTTTCACTGGAACAGGTGACCCCCATCGCAGTGCTACTTTGGATGGATCTTGGATTGTAGCGTTGGCTCGGCGGTTCTGGTCACGATACATTTTGGATGTTCTCATGATCTGGGGGATAAAATGAATTCCTCTCACTTATCACTGATGGTGTGGAAGGGGGGGAGGGGGGGTCATCGGGGAAGTGCCCCGAAGAAGAGGGTTCAGATGGTGGTGGTGCACGTTACCTGGCAAGAGGAGGGGGTGACGACAGGTGGTGTCGCATATTACCATGGGCAGGGGTTGGCAGATGCACGGTACAAATGCCAGACCTCCCACTCAGCTCACTGATGAAGGTGGGGGAGGGCATCAGGGAGGTGCCCCAAGGGAGGGTTCATTTGGTGGTGGTGCACATTACCTGGCAAGGAAAGAGGGGGGGACAGGTGGTGTTGCACATTACATGGGGCAGGGGCTGGCATGTGCACAGTACAACTGCCCCAGACGTCCCACTCAGCTCACTGATGAAGGTGGGGGAGGGCATCAGGGAGGTGCCCCAAGGGAGGGTTCATATGGTGGTGGTGCATGTTACCTGGCAAGGGACGAGGGGGGACCAGTGGTGTTGCACATTACATGGGTCAAGGGTTGGCATGTGCGCGGTACAACTGCCTGGCGTCCCACCCGGCTCACTGATGTCGCCAGGAACAGAGTCAGAGTGTCACAGGTTGCTAAGAGCCCCCCCCCCATGTGACCCATTGAGATGCCCCCTGAGGACCTGCAACCGGTGCAGCTGAAGTAATTCACAGCTCATGATGAAGGGGAAGGGGGGTCACTTTGGACTTTTTTGCCTTAGGAGCTGAAGCGGCTCTGGACCCAACATACATCTGACCGGGAATGTAACCAGGAATGTTAGGGCCGGGGCCGGTAATACGGACTTTTTTGGGGGGGCCCGAATAGGTAATACGCAGGCAAAGCCGAGCTGTATCATTCCACTGACTGAGATACAGACCGGTTTGGATGGACGCTCACCGGCATCAATTCCCGGCGAAGATTTACCAACGTCACCCGACATCCCAGAACGATGGAAATAAAACGCCTCCTGCTGGAGGGTGACGCGGACTTGGCTGAAAAGCACAGAATGACACGCAGCGCGTTCAGCGATAGAGGAAGACGAGTAAAAAAACGCCAGAAGACCGACGCTCCCCCACGGACGGCGGGAACCTTCATCCCGATGAGCTCCGTACAAAGCCGGATCATACAACCCGTTCTGGAGCGTCCGAGACCTTATAATTGAACGCACTTCACCTCCCGCCGGGCGCTGCAAAATCAAAGACGCGGCTCAACAAGGGGGGGGGGGGGGGCGGGGGGGGGGC